ATAAATGAACTGCTAGAAAGAGAGTTTCTGGAAAAAGATTGAAATCGTCCACAATGTCAACCAGCCATTCGATGAGCACGTTTCTCCATTGAAGAGGGAGCTTCATATAAAAACAAAAAATATGAGTTTCACTACCACTGTTAGAAAAACTTTTATTCTCCTTGTGATCCTCGTCGCAATCTCTATCAATGGCGTGATTAACAGCCTGACTTTCTTGAGGAACGTTCTTTTCAGACGAAAACCGACTTTGGAAAAGAAGAAAAGATGATTCGAAAACAATCTATCGAGTTCAAACTGTTATTCTTTTTTTTTTATTCAAAAAGGAAAAGGCTTCCTTTTCATAATTAGGTAGACCCAAAATCTCAAATACAAAACAGCTTTGTATCCAAAAGGCATTAGTATTTTAAGTAAAATCGTCGTTTGTTGATGGAGAACGAAGAAGAGAAGGACGATTCTATTCGATGGTATGTGTGCGGTCCTACTGTGTACGACGAAGCACACATTGGACACGCTAGAACTTTCGTTGCTCTGGATATTATTCGCAGGGTCGTTGAGGACTTTTTCAGGCTTCCTTGTATTTTCGCGATGAATATTACCGATATCGACGATAAAATTTTGGAAAAAGCAAAGGAAGAGCGAGTTCCTTTTGAGATCATTTCTGAACGGTACACAAAAAAGTTTTTTCAAGACATGCGGTTGCTTCGTGTGAGGAAACCTGATATTGTTTTGAAAGTCACAGATCACATTCCCTGCATCATTTCTTTCATACAAGGGCTTGTTGAGAAGGGTTACACATACGAAACTGCTGATGGTATTTATTTTGACGTTAACAAATACCCTTTTTATGGGTATTTTCGTCAGTGTGGAAACCTAATACCTAAAGAGAATAGAGAAAAAAAGGACCCCAGGGATTTCGTGTTGTGGAAGAAATCCCCCTCTTTAGAGAATGTCCCTGGATGGAACAGTCCTTTTGGAAAAGGAAGACCCGGTTGGCACACGGAATGTGCAGCGATGATTCACGAGGTTTTTGGAGACCGCCTTGATTTCCACGGAGGGGGAGTTGATCTATCCACTATTCATCATGAAAATGAAATTGCGCAAATGTCTTGTTTTTTAGGGAAAGGTTGGGTGCCCAACTGGATTCACGTGGGCCATTTATCCATCCGCGGTTGCAAAATGTCCAAATCGTTGCGAAACTTTGTTACTATTCGTGAGGCAATAGAATCCAAACAAATGGATGCTGAAGAGTTTCGCGTGTTTTGTTTGTTGCACAACTTCAATTGCGACGTTGAATTTGGGGAGGATGAAATCTGCGAAGCGAAGCGCACCTGGTCCAAGTTGAAGAAATGGAACGAAGAGTGGTCTTATGCAGAAAAGGATTTGTGTAGCTTCTTTGAACAGAAGGCTAAGAAGGAGACGGAGGAGACGGAGGAATGGGGAGAAAAAGCAGATGATAGATCTTGGAAAACTGAAATATTCATCAAGCTTCGGAACAACTTCCAAACGAGGGAGGTCATGCTTCTTATTCTCCAAGAGTGCAAAAAGACTCTTCAATTGAAAGCCCAAGGGTGCTTTCCTTGGGATACTTGCTCTTATATTTATCAGCTGCTCTTGATATTTGGTCTCAAGTTCCCTGCTTGGTCTTTGATCAATAAGGAACAGGAATTAATTGGTTTGATAGTCACCTTTCGGGAGAAAATCCGCGTTGCTTTATCATCTAAAGTGGAAGACCAGCAATTGCGAAAGGACATTTTTGCCATTTGTGACGAGTTGAGAGACCAAGATCTCAAAAGAATAGGGATTCACCTAGAGGACTTAAAGGACTGATTACGTTTGGTAAAAGATGGAACCTGCCGAATCTTCTTTGAGCTTTGCTCTTTTGATCATTGGCGCAACTCTACAAACGATATTCATTGTTCGTTGGTCTTTTCTTATTTTTCAAGCTGTTCACGAAAAGTTCGTGGATGTCTTATGCTTCGCATGGATGTATCTTTTCATGCTGTTGGGACCTCCTATGTCTTCTGTTGTTCTTGTCATAGTTTCGATGGCGTTGACGTGCTCCATAATTATTTATTTGGAAAAGCTGTTCGCTGAGTTGGAACTAAGAGACCATCCTTCGGATCCCATTTCGTTTTTCGTAGTTTACTATGTCGGTTTGCTATTATACGCAGCTTACTGCTTGGTGATTTCCATTAGGAGATTTGTTGATCTTCAGAAATGTCCTTATTCAGCAGAGGAGGAAGAAGAAGACGACGAACTAGAAGTTCAAATAGTGCACACGACTTCCCAGTTTCCTGCGAAGTTCATATGCTCCATATGCAGGCATAGCTTCGATGACGCAGTTCATGTGCCTTGTTGCTCTAATAATTGTGGGCATGTTTTTGGAAGGAAATGCATCTTGCTATGGCTTGGGTCAGAGACAAAAGGCTGCCCTGTTTGCATGAAGCCCATGGACAAGTCTCATTTGGTAAAATTGTATTTCAGCGAAGGCGTAAATATTTAGAAATGGACTCCAAAAAAATTGAATTTACAAGACAAAAAGGGGTAGCACTTGTCGAGGAAAAACCCTGAAAAATCGACGGTTTGTGAGTAGATACTCACGAGGTCAGTGCGATGTAATTGAGGCTTCAAACTAGAGGCTTTTTTTTCGCGAAAAAATGAACTTGAATTCGTGGGGGACCCTTTTATTCTCTGTCTATTTCGGAGTAATCCACAAGCTCATAGAGGTCTCGGTACTCTACACTAAAAAATTGTGACAACGGCTCAAACATTTCGCGAGGACTCATTCCAATTTCCTCGGCAGCACGAATGCAGGACATAATGCAAGCTTCTTCTTGTTGTACAAGTGAAGCGATTGCTGCCTCTACTTCTCCATCTGGCTCCGCTGCCGAGACTGTAGATTCCGTTTCTTGAACATCTGAAGGCTCTTGTGATTGCGTTCTTCTTTTCTTACTTGTTTGAGTGTGACTTCCTTTCATCTGCCTCTTGCGTTCCAGGTTCTTATCTCTGCAGTATATCCTGTCTTCCTTTGATAGGGCTAGAAACTGCCAAGGATTGTACCTCAGCTTAGTGAATGATGGAAGCAATCTGCAAGGAGCTTGGGAAGGACTTTCAGTAGTAAAATCCACTCCTTCCTCTTCGTCAACGGATCGCACGTGGATTGTGAATTGATCATCCACGACAGTTACCCAGTACTGGGTGACTGCTCCATCGTGAGGCCTATAAAAAGTCCTCTTGATTTTTCTCCCTTTAAAGTTATCTTCTCTTTGTCCTTCGACCAGAACTTCAACGCACCACTTCGGCATGTTTCTGCTTGTGAAAAATGAAAAACCCAAAAAAGAGGGCGGCTATAAATAAAATCGAGTCTTCGTCAAGGGCCTCAAGGTCTTTAAAGACTGCAAAGACGTCGAAATCGTCAAGGATCGTAACGCCTTTGAAGATTTCAACGATGTCAACGCCTTTGAAGGTTCTCCCTCAACGATGTCAACGGGACCGTTGACATTCTTGACGAGAAGACCTCAACGTGTTCAACGATGAAGAGGACCTTGAAATCGTCAAGGACCTTGAAATCGTCAACGCTCTCCCTCAATCGAATAGCCTTTTAAGAGATCGTCTTTCTTCGTCTTTTTTTTTGGTTTTCATGGAAAGAGAATTGGAGCTTGTCCTGTTTCTCCACAAAGAAGAAAATCAACTAGTGCGTGGTCCTATTGTGAAAAATGGGAACTGGGACCTTCAATTGTTAGCCCAAAAAGGGTCCGACTTTCTTTCTTTTTTTGTGAAAGCGCCGTTTCAAAAGATAGCAGCTTTGGATTTTTTTCTGAACAATCATACAGATCCTCGTCGGACTATTTATCGCTCAATCGAGGTTCCTTTTCCTTACGAAGGAGAAACCTTAGGGTTAGAGTCGTTTGCGTCAACGCGAGTTCTCAATCCTGACGAGGGATTTCTTCTGGAGAACGACTGCCTTTTTTTAAGCGCGCGCGTTCAATTTCTTTTGCCTAATTGTCCTTGGAAGTGCTTGGTTGTTGAGCGTGGAGACCCAATGGCTAATTTTAAAGGAAGAAAGCTTATTCGGTCTTTTTATCATCCCCAAGGTGGAGAAGGGACGTACCACGTGGAAGTCCACGAAAATTTCACCATCCACGTCAAAGGACACGAGTCATGGAACGACGTGAATTTTACTACGAAGTTTCCTTCCCAAGCTCCTTCTCGTCTACTTCCACAAACTGCCACAAAAGGGCGTTACAACCCATGGCAGTTTTTGAAAATCACAGGCGAAGACCGAGAAGCTTGCGTGACTGGCAATCGGTTGCTTCGTCAACGGCGAACGACGAGTGCGAGAAAAAGAACTTCTGTAGAGAACGACAGTGAAAGTGAAGATTCTTCTATCCCTCCTTCTATTTTTTCTGTGAGAAATAGAAGAAACGATAGGGTTATCCCCAGTGTTCCTCTTGAAGTGAAGGACGAACCCAAGGTAATCGATGACTATATCAGCAGTGAGGTAAACAAAACCAGTTCGTTGGTTTCTTGCGTCATTTGTTTTGAATCCTACGACGGTAACGCTCATCGAGCTAAGTGCCTTTCTTGCGGGCATGTTTTTTGTAGTTTCTGCGTGGATGAACTGGTGACTTGTCGAAAGAATTGCCCCCTTTGTAGGAAAAAGATTAAGACGGATAAAATTCTAGCTTTATTTGTATGAAAAAATGATGAAATAAAAAAATGATCGTGTTTGCTTCGTA